TTACCCGTCCACCTCGCCTTGGGCTTCCCCTACAGTGGTGATACTCAAGAAAAATGGGGAAAAGGTACGGTTGTGTATCGATTTATGGAAAGTAAAGCAGTTGACAAGATCGATTTTAAACACGTGCCACTGATTGACGAGTTGCTGCAAGATTTGGATATAGCGATGTGGCATTGCTCGTTAGACTTGACGAGTAAATTTTAAATTTTGAAATCGACAGAACGAGCAAAAGCTATTTCCGGATTCATCACACCCTCGGGTTTGTTTGATAATTACGGTTTGTTTTTTGGGCTATGATCGCTCCCTTGATTTACCAACGACTGATCGACAATGCACTGTATGGGTATTTGATGATCGGCTCAACACCTAACTCGCATGCACTACTGTCGCAGAAGACGACTGATGTGTACACGAACGGATTGCCAGATACGGACCTAAGACCATCAATTCTAGGTCGAAGGTCACGTATCGACGACATCTTAATACCTGCGACGTTGTGGACTTTCCTATATGAAGGGTGGAAAGACTCTGAGAAGTGTGTGACAGATGGAACTTATCGATCAGTGTAGTTAAACGCTTCTGGGTGCGTCGTAAGGTTAAATACCTAGGTCATCGTGTGTCGCTCAACGGGTTGGAGGACCAACCCAAAGACTTATCCTCAATTGTGAATATTACCCTCCCTCGAGCTTTGAAATTATTGCAGTCATTCTTGGGAAGCCTAAATTACTACAGCCGATTCAGTGATTACTTTGCGATATTTTCTTCTTTGCTTTATGAGCTGCGGGAAATTGTTCTTTATGAAGTAAGCCAAGACAAAGTATCTCGGTTATCAATGTCAGTAATCAAACCCGATCTGGATCGCGATTCACGAGATGGGTCCGGAAATTCTCCTGGATTATATACCAAGGGCGATCTGGACTTAAAGACACAGGACGATCTGGGATTAAACACATGGGGTAATTTATATAAAAAATTATGGGCGATTCGGACTCTGAAAGCAAAAGTCGATGGAAGATAGCAATAGTAGCTTCAACTTTGCTAAAAGCCAAATTTGCTGACACTCAGATCTAACGAAATTTCGACCCAGATCGAGCACCTGTGATTGTGGTCTATACGCCAGCACGTAAGCGGTATCAGCTGCACTTCTTCAGAAATACGATGGCACATCTTGGCCAGTCGGCTTTTTTAGCCGCACGCTGAAGCTTAATGAAGTCAAGTACGGAATGGTCGAGAGAGAGGTGTTAACTCTACTCCAAATGTCAGACAGTTGTTACACGATGTTGTTCTCTCGAAAATTATGTTGCTTACGAGATACTTAACGTTGGCTTGGCTATTGCAGTCTTATGGTCTCAACGGAAGACTAGGGAGATGGGCAGAGCTACTATCAAACTGGACGTTAGAGATTCGACGATGCGGAAAAGGCTAAGACCCCAAATGCTGGACACGCTAGCTGCAAGTGTGATACCTTGCAAAGGCGTAGACGAAATGCTATTCGCCATTGCTCTAAGAAAACAGCCACGGCAAATTATAAGCATGCCGCCACCCACAATTAAAACAGAAGAAAATCCCTGGGTGGTCAGCTTCGATGAATTGTCTAGGGTAAAGAAGAAAAGCGGGGCTAACAGTGCAATCATATAGAAGTTACCTTTACGGACAAATGTGGCGGATACGTCGAGTTTGCATACGTTTTGACGTGAAAAAATGGAATATCGCGGACAAATACTTGGTTTGGTTTCACTGTCCGATTAGACCAGGGGATGGGTGATCTTTGTGGTGACTCAAACTTGGTGATGAGGCAGATGCAAGGCTTTAAATCGATTGCAAAGCACCCGGTTTCCAATAGCTGAAACATAAGGCAAATGAGAAACTCCGACAGTGGCCAAAGAATGAATTCCTACAAATGAAACGGGACTGGAACCAGAGTGCTGATCGGCTGGAGAGCGAGGCTTTACAGCAAGAGAAAGGGGATGTCGTGGTATCACTACATGAGCAAAACAATCTCAATACGCTCAATCGGCTAAAGCGTTGCTGATTCCGAGACAACCCACCTGCCCAGTCAAAGTTTCCACGATAAATAGATAAGAGACGCGAAGGCGATGCCCCCAAAAATATTGCGAGAGGAATTTGTACAACAGGTCCGGATTGAACGTATAAAACAGGCGCAAGATGATGAGAGTTGGATGTCGGACTTAAAGACATATCTAATCGAGTATATAGCCAAGCTGAATGCTAAGGACGCAAAGATTTGCGCCCTAATCGCACCGGACTACGAAGACGATCAAAGCGGACTATTACTTTTTGGCCAAGGGCAGCAGCAAAGAGCGAAGATCGAGGCGAGCCAATTTGGTTATCAGCTCCTGAATTGTTGCAACAAAACGTCGTACACCACTACCATACTAGTTTTGGAAGGAGGAAATCTAGGGGCCTGCCGTACATACCATCGGATCTGGGCAAATTTTCATCAGCGAGGATTAGATCGGAGCGTGCAACGCTATGTTGGCGAGTGTGTGAATTGTGGAACCGGCAAGGGTCGAACGCAAGATAAATGTAAATCGCGGAAATTTTACTAGCGACTTACCCTTTCCAAATTCTGGCAACGGATCATATTTCGTCTCTACCGGGATATGCGATCGCAAAGTTGAGCTCATCCCGATCGGCACAGGCAATCTCAGAAATTTATGAAGACAGTGAATTTCGAAGATTCGGTGCGAGTGAAATCATACGTCATGACCAAGAGCGAAGATTTATGTCGGATCTCTTTCGAGCAATCAACAAGATTGCGGGATAGAGGTAACAAGCCACAATGGCTTATTGACCTCAAGTGAACGGAACCGCGGAACGCATAGTTCAAAATCTGGCACGATCAATTAATATGTGTGCCACTGATGAACACCATAGAGATTGGGACGAATACGCAGAACGATTAGCCTACGCGATCTTTCTGCGCAAGATCGAGTCCGCTGAAAAATTATGTTTGATTTGATCCATGTTCGGTACCCTCAATCGAAGTTGAAAGCGACTTTGCCACTAGGAAGTGTTAAACATCGCAATGGCCACCCCGGAAGATGGAGGTATAAACCTAAGCGCCAATATCAACAAGCGAGAGCGATCGTGAAAGATCGTCTGGAGATCGCGATTCAAGACCGAGTGGATCGTTGTAACTAAGACCGCGATTTGTTGGAGGTCGACCAAGGTTAAAAAATGGTTATATCTGGATTTCGTCGAAGTTGGATATGCTCGAAAGTTATCTCATATGTGGCACGGACCGTTCGAGTATTTGGAAATTGTGGAGACCATGCAGTGAAATTGGCGATCGCAGGCACACCCTATCGATCCTTCCCGGTCGTTCGTGTATCCAAACTGATACCAGTGAAGGTGTTCCGAGAACGACCTTTAGGTCGGGTGAATGTAGACAAGTCTGATCAAGTTGATTTTAATGAAGCCTTGCTACCGGAAGATACTTGGGAGGGTGAATTGGATGACGACGAATTTGAGGTGATGAAATTTAAGGGTATGCGATTAGGTCGAAATACACGCTACGGGCGATTACACCGTCTATCTCTAGTACAATGGAAAGGTTTTATTGATCCGTCATGGGTGGATAAGGCAGATTTAAAATGCGGAGCTTTGCTATATAAATTCGATCGAATAAGTCGAAATCGATTTGAAGTTATGCAAACGCACGAAGAAGAGCCAAAGGCCTGGACCAAACCGGAGTGGTTGGAGTGTGTAAGTATTAGAGGAGGTTGCGTACGGTTGCTAGGCGGTGAAGAGTATACTGGGAGGCTGCATATAAGAATGGAGAAATGGCGAAATTATGCAGGGGGGTTGTACATGTTGTAAGGTAGAAAAATTGTATCGGGAGGTGATGCACGAAGACGGAAGGGCTGTCTGAAAGCATGTGTGGCGATCGAAACATGATCGCGGTCCATGAGAACGATAAAAGAAAAAAGAAGAATACAAAATCAGGGGGTACATAGATAGAAAAAACAGCATGAAGGAATGGAATTGATACTTGTAAATGTATCGAACCAAACAAACTACAGAACGAAGAAGATGCTGGCTAGGCGAGGGGTCGACATGCCTGGATGATCCGCAACTGCAGCTCGGTAATATTTGCGCCACGGCTCGCAGAGTTCGCTAGCACTTAAGCGGAAGTTAGATTGGTGACATTGGGTTTCCGAGCCCCCAATTCAGGGTATCAGAACTGTTTCTTAGTCGAACGAGGCATTTGCAAGAAATCGGGTTCAGCAGAATGTCTAAGTAACAATGTCCACCCACCAAACCCTGGATTTTAAATCGCAGAAGGGTTTTCCAGCGGGGTACAGCTCGAGAGCGCAACTTCTTGGGATGAGTACAGTACAAAGACAACACAGGATCACTAACCCGATCGGCGGAGGAATTCGGCAATGTGTGGGCCGACTCCCACAAGGTCTGGATAAGGCTATCCTTGAGTGAAGTATACATATCCAGCAATCGTTCGAACCAACCAGTAGGCGGAAACGCAATAAGCGCGATCTTAACCTTCAGAGACAATAAGGCTCCTGGTGGCAAAGTGTGGCGATCTGCGCCAAAGAAATTAGTCCAGAAAACCACTTCGACACCGGAGTTATTTCCGACGTACTGGGGGAACTGGGAAGGGGTAATGTGTCGGCCTGGCAAGGTGGCGGCAAGAAATCCAAATTCAGTTCAGACATGCTGATCCAGCTCACCCGACGTGCTTACCAAGGTGAAACCTAAACAGAAGATCTCGGAACGCGACAGCGATGCCCAGGTATTAAATTATCTTGGGACATCTTGGTTTAGTGCAGATCATTGTACTCTGCTGAAGACAACAGCGTGTTGAAGAAAGTTCGGGATTCTTCCGCAACACTGATCGCGCCATCCGAACTGCTAGAGGCTTCGTTAAACAAGTCGACCTTGAAAATTTAATTTTGGGCTTAGGAGAAGCAGTAATCGAAGAATAAGGAGAATTTAAAGCAGGGCCAGGGGTGTCCACGATGATCAACTCGGGCGAAGTGGAGGTCGGAGCCAGCGGTTTACAGGACGGAACCATACGCCGGGAAGAAGAGCGAGATTGGAAGAGCGGAGCGGGTGCCGGGACGCGCAGTCTGCCTTTTTCTTTCCAGCCACAAGCACCGGACGGAACGGATAATAGGGGCGCTGGCTTTGCCGTGGATCGCTTGGAACGGCGGAACGGACGGGGAATGCTGTCCATCAGATTCCTATCCGGAGAAGAAGACGTGTTGGAGACGTCAGGCACAAACGTAGCCAAAATATTTGGCGTCGCCTGGATGACGACTGCGAAGAGGTCCGTGGAGTAGAGGGAGCCCTTGTCGTGGCCTTATTGTTTACGTGGAGGAAGAACTGGAGCGAAAGATCAGAGACGTTTGCCCTGGGTGGCCATGGACTTCGCCGATCCTTTTACGCTTGTTGACTCAAAACGGGATGGGGCCTCCACAACTAAATGGGAAGATAGGAAAAAGGTTACGCTGGCAGTGATTGAGGCTATACTCGCCCGAAGAGCATCCCGATTGAGCAATGCTAGATCACGCTCTGACTCTAAATTCGAGATATCAGTCTGATGTCGACCCACTTGATCGTCCTGATCGGCGAGAAAAGAGCTTAATCAATCGTGGTCGACTTCGAGGTTAGCGAGATAGTCCCGACACTGACTGCGCTCTACCACCAGAGCCGCAAGAGCATCGCGCAAGCGGCCAACCTTGGTCTGAGCCTGAGAATAGCCAACCTTGTATCGGGATATCTTCGGCTGAAATTTCTGAAGTCTCGCGGTTTCTTGGGTGAGTACAGCATGCATTCAGGCATTTCCTGCATCCAGGTTCTGTCGCAATGCTGCCAACTCCCGATCGTGACGTGTCTGTGAAGCATGGAGCGACTGAGTCGCCCTAAACAGCTTCGACTTCAAGTCAATTATTTGCTGCTCCTGAACTTGACCCGCGATGATTTCCTCCCGAAATAAGGTGGCCTCCGCGCGCACATTTTCGGGGTCCAAGCGAAGACAATCATAGCGTACTTGAGAGGAAGTCACAAACGGATAGGCCGACTCAGCAAGGGAACGGAGCCCTTGCTTTAGCCGATCACTCGACGGGTCTGTTTCCTCAACGTTTGCTCCGGATCGCCGTAGCGATCGGCGCAGTCTTGATGAGACGCGATCGGCTAATATGGACCAGCGAGCATCTTGATCGCAGCCGCTTGATCGGCGGTCGGTGGAGATTCGACTCGATCGGTCGGCAATGAAATCACTCTGTTTCGATTGGAGTCCAGGTGGCCGATCGTCATCAGAGGTTGCAAGAGTGTCCTTGAGGACATACCCGCAGTGTTATCATTCGAAATGTCAGGCGATGTATAAGCGGATGTCAATGTGGAGCCAGCCGGGAAAGGTAAGGCGTTACTAGCTGAAGACATGTCTGGCGAGGCACGACAAGGCGTGAACGATGTGAACGACGTGTACGCCATGGTTAACGGTGAACGTAAATGACAACGTAACACGTGCACAAGCCAGTCGGATGTTGTGGATCGACGATTTGTGCAGGGGGCCATTGCGGAAAGCCGACCGAGATCGGGTCCAAAAGCCTAGGCGAATCAGCTAAGTAAGAGGTGATATTGGCTAAATCGCTCGTAGGATGATAGCCAGCTGTTTGGATGTTACCGTTGGGAGGGCCCAACCCCATAAAATCCGCACGGTCCTAGACTGTAGTGTTGTCAAGGAACCGCGATTATAGGACCGCGATCAAAGGACCGCGATAAAGAGACCGCAATCAAGGGACCACGATCAGAGGACCGCGATCAAGGGACCGTGATCAAGGGACCACGATCAGAGGACCGCGATCAAGGGACCGCGATCAGGCGTGGACCACGTGATATAGAGGGATTGCAAATCCATTTGGCATGAAGAATACACGTGGCGGTCAATCCAGGCATACGGAGTAGGCGTGGTTATAGTTTTGAGTTTGGTTGGTTAACATTAAAGAGAGTTCAATTTGCTTTTATACACAAACGTGTCGTTCTTCTTCCGGGTTGGATATTTTGGCCTCCCTACATCAGAGAACTTCGACACTTAGGACAGTAAGATCACTCCTGGAGCTATTTGACCAGGAGTGCAAGGAATCTCAACACACCTCAACTGCGATCGGACGCAAGCAACCTTACTGTTTGAAGTACAAAATCTCGAGACGGCTCAAGTGGTTAGAAGGCTCGCGACTCAAGTACCCCATTTTGCCACAAGGCGATCAAGGCTGATCGCGGCGACAGAGAGCGCCAACAAAGAACACGCGATCGGGTGAGGAATTTTCACCCGATCGACACCAATCTCTAAAACGGTCAAGTTCAGCATCGAGTCAAGTCCACCTAGAAGAGTGCAACCCGCCCTACGGACGGGCACACTAGGGGGGGAAGAAACAAGTGCGAGCGAAATCGGAGTACCCCTCCGTTAGTCGGTTGTCTGAGCGCCAGTGGAGAGTCGGTTGTCTAAGCGCCAGTGGAGAGTCGGGATCGCCTTATAATATTAGCGAATTAACTTCACCACAGAGCCGTATGTGTTGGGCATATGTGTACTCATCACACTTGCCCTGCTTTGGTTTCAGGAGCTCTGATCGAGCCCTGAAGTCAGCCCGTAGCGGCTCAAACACTTGTCGGAGCCAATTCTTTAAGACACCTAACAATTTAAAAACAAATGATTCACTCATATCCAGTCCTAAGGTCCAACGTTTGATAAGTCCCGCCAAGTGGATTTATGCAAATTTGTGTATTACTTGCTCATCGTCGATACGATGTGCATAATCGGCTTTGTCTAGATCTACAAGCCATGTTTACAAAGATTCTTCCTCGACTCCTCTGTACTTAAAGAAAACGACCTTCAAAAGTTTCGGGACGACGCGTGTGAGCCGTTTCGCCCACAACTGCGTTGCATTGCTGCTTTCTTAACATTTCTGTCTGTTGAGCACCGAGTTCTCTCAACTGATAGGCCTATAAAGAGTCTTGCTGGTGAAGCAAGTCTACTTTCTCTCTTCCGGCGATAAATTATTTTAAATGAACCTAACTTTAGCGGCATGATGTAGGTCCCTGGCAAGAGACTTTAATATGGCGCTAATGGTGGTTTGTCTACGGTAAAACTCAAGTGTTCTGCTACAGTCCATATGATGTCGCTCAATGGGTAAATCTTTCGTGCGTGGCGTGAAAGCTTTCCTCCTCATTCAACATGTTCATGTCAATTGGTTCGTGGTCGCTGGATAGACTACAAAGTGACACCAGGTGTAACAGGGCACGCTCTTGTGTTGCCTGGATACAAGGTAGCGTGCTCTCGACGTCACGTACATGTGGCGTGAGGAAGCGCAGCAATGAAAACAGAACTTAAAAGCTCTGTTTAAGGGGAAAGTAGAACTGTATATTGTGTAGTAAAGTTTCCTTGTAAATTATCTTTGTCCTGATCCAACAATTTAAAAGTACAATCTCCTACGTGGGTTTTTTGCTCACCACCCATTGCACGCGTCCAGCAGGTATTGATAGTTAATTTGGTTGATGTAATGTAGACATCAACTAAAAGTGCAGCACCCCAGACTATTACCCTCAGAGGTAATATTCAGTCAACATCACCTCTTCGCGAGTGACGTTAATTGAGAATTATCTCAATACATAAAATTCAAAAATTGATACATTCATATCAGTTTTTATGTAATTGGCCATCCCGTTATAATCTCCGAGCTTTACGGGGTCGATGCTGTGGCACGATTACTTTCTCCGGTGGTTACTCCCAAAAAAGTCAACCTTTACAGCTTAAGACTCTTGTCGACGAATTGGTGGTGGACCTGTTATCGAGCTGGAAGAGACAAAGAATGACTCTTGATGGTTTTTCTCTGATCTTTAAAGTCAGCGATGTCGACGAGGCAGTCAACAGACATCGCGACGAAACTTCTAGATATGCTGTCTCGTTTAAACATTTCAATACTATCATTGGAAGTGGTCAATTTGCCAAGAACATCAAAACTAGAAAATTTAAGTTGTGAATGATTACAGCACGCTCCTGTATGGTCAAGATGGTGTGTTACTTTTTCAGTGCCGTTAAGACCGGTTTTGGTGAAGATAACAAGTTTTCCCGGTTGTTGAGCGTCGCAAAAGAACATCAGACCGGTCAGACGAAGCTTGCAAACTGGATGAAACAACTTTAAAGATGTGGCTGAAGGACTAGATGGACTCCGCGGCTTTATTAATAAATCTCGGGACGCGCAATGTTTTAAAGACGACAAATATGGCTTGACGGGTGTGCAAGAATTTACAGACTACGTGACGAAATGGAACGGCTTTCCTGGCGTACAGACGACTTCTGCGAAAAAGCTTCTGGTATGGGTATTGGGTCGAAAACGCGCACATCATAATTACAAAACAAAAGTGAGCGACGAGGCGGGATTGGGTCGTTTGCATGTGGTTGCATAGCTATGACATCATAAGGTAGTAAGCCGGGAAAGTCGGAAGTGTAGGAAAGCGTGTGTTAGCATGTGTTAGCGTGTGCCGAATCCTGCGGACCCTGACAAAGTGTGGGCTTGTATTAGGTGTAAAGAGCTAAGCGGAATCTGGATAGCGAAGATATTTTGTTTGCGTCCTCACGACAACTCAAGTAGTTGTGTAGCTGTAGATTAAAAAAACCACTGTGAAATAGGACGACATGCACAAGTTTTCAAAATTGAACTATGATCGTACACTGCCTGTATATCCCCCATCATTCCCGCCACTGTCGCACTACTGTCAATCTACCTTCCTGAGATGTCACCCACTCGGCGCTGGCAGGTCCTTGGCTTAAAGGACGAAGTTTAGCTCCAAGCGGTTCATCTGTCCGTCCATCAGTCCGTCACAGCAGTGGCAACAGAACGTCACGATTGCTGCTTTTTGTCGCTGTCATTTACGACTTTCCCAGCTGAGGTCCAAGTGCGTCTCCCGATGGCCTGCAACGAGACGGGCACGCTGCGCTGGCTGATGCCGTGTTCAAATGTAACATTTCTTATTTTTTACTGCATCGAAGTACTTGAGCTCGTGCCCCCGTCATGACAATAAATACGCACTGACGTATTGCGAGCACATCACAGCTCGCGCGCCAACGACCTAGCACAGTATTCTCGACAATGCAACTATTGGGGTATAAAGACGCTTAGCGTGACGGACAGCGTACCATTACGCCGATGAGAATTGTCGGTCGCGTCGCTGCCACCAACTAGATCGTCACAATCGAGCTATATACTGGTGCAATAAGTTCTCGAGCAACTGGCTTTTACGAACAAATAGAATACCTATCACCCCGAAAGCTGATTGATGTACTGTTAGAGCATGAATTAGCTGAGACTTGGAGATCACCAAAAATTACAACGATCGACAAGTTGGACTTAATTCGTGCGTTCGATCGTAAGAATAACGCAGCCTTCTGTAGCTTACAGCCATAAAAGGCCGAGACCGTCCTGAAGCAGGAGAACTGGAAGGTGCCCGACAGCGATTCGTTCGATAACGGAGTTGTCGTACCCTTGAAAGCTGGTGAGACCACTCGTTGGAAACTGCAGCATCAAGCGCTCACTCCTTCCTAGTTTTGAGGCATCTGAACTTTTTAGACCCAGACTAAGTAGTGCTTGTCTGATCACGGGAGGATGAAGATATTTTCAAGCCAGTGCATTCTTCTCTCGTCTTCATCTCGAACACGGACTTAAGAATCCGACGTGTTGATTCATGTGCTGTTGATGGTATTGAGCTCGACGAAGAAGAACAGCTATCATCCCCAGATGCGTCCATGGTCTCCTTTTTGCCCGTTGTCATGACTGACCCTCGTACGATCAATGCAGTCAGAAAACTCAAAAAGTCAGAAAAGTCGCGAAACACTTGACTCACGCGATAACACGTCTTGCCGACATTGTTGTCAGGCTGCAACGGATCTTCAATCACAAACAGTCCATCACGAAATAGCGGTGGCGCTAGCATCAATGGTGAGTTGGCGCTGCAACGTCTATCTGTCGGCGAAGGATGAGCCGTCAAAGGAAGGAGAGTAGGTGCCGGCGGCGACTGTGCATTTGTGGTGGACGTCGTCTCAACTGTCAACCAACTTGGCTCACCCCATGACACAACCGAGATCTGGTCAAAATTTTGTCTGAAGTCGTTCCCATAAAATTGCAGAATGTCCATAAGCAACTTTCCCAAGAGGTATGGCTTGGCCTCTAGCGCGTCACCTGTCTCCGAGCCAGTAACAAAAGTAGAAAAAACTGCACGCTTCGCCTTCTTTGCACAGCTTTAAGCGGCCTTTCCAGCGTCCGGTGGCTGTTGTCGTGCCGAGCATTGCCTGATGATTTCTTTAGCAATGACCTCCCCCTTTAGACGTTGCGATTCATAACGCAAGTTCCAGCGGGCATTCGGACACCGAGCACCTCCTTTCCGTTCATCGATATCGACTCTATCGATAGAACCTTGCGAGGGCCTTTGTCCATCGGTCAACAATATCAGAGCCCCTTGCTCTTGCAGCACGTATACAACCATAAGCAGCAAACCATACGATGATAAGCCTCCGACAGCCGGATCATTCAGCCCACACTTCACCAGAAAACACTTCAGCACAAGCGTCAATTCCCGCAGTTTGTAAAATGCGCGCGCAAGGCCTTGCACCAATGTGACACTTGCTATACCATTGTGGTGAATACCACGGGGCTCGTCAAACGTGATATCGAATGGAATCCGCAACATCGCGTCACCATCACGCTCAATGTGTTTGCCTTCCGTTGCCTCTAGGTTGTCACCTGAAACTAGGACCACCACTTTCAAGAGCGGAATTGGTGCGCGAGTGATGGCGCTCACACCCGAAAACGCACTGAGCTCACGAAAACGATCTGCCAAAGCCTTTACGCACTGTTGACCGGTGCAATTGAACTCCTCCGTTGCCCCAAAGACGACAAGGTCCACATCACTTGCTTCCTCGTGCAATCCCGTAGCAAGAGACCCGTACTGCTCGACTTGCACGCAGTGATTCCATAACCGTTCAATCTCCTCCGTCACCATTGCAATACCTTTCTGTATCCACAGACGCTTCTTTAGCGCTTCCCGCTGATGATGATCATAAAAGTCCAGAATCTCGTCATGCAAAACGACCTGCATCATTGCTGTCTGCTCTTCGTATAGCCTTTGCAGATTCCCGAACGACAGTCCACATCCATTCACCCGTCCTTCCTCGCGTTCCTCATCTATGCGACGTTCTCGCTCCTTTTCTGTTGCTTGGTTGACACTTCTTCTCCACTCAAGTCGTTCTTCCCACTCTTTCTCCCGTGAGATACCATTCACAGAACAACTCGCTAGGTGTTGTACCAGATTCTCGCGTGAACAAATCTCCCTGCACCCTAGCATCGCATTCGGACACACGACATCGTACGAGTACAGATCTCTCGCGCTATCTTCCACCACTTGATCCAGACTATCCGGCACCTGTCGGTACGCACATTTCCCTAGATGCAGCTCCAGGTCTTTCAGCATGCAACTATACGTACATCCGCACCAGCTGTTCGGACACACCACCTCGTAGTCCTTTGAGAACCTCGATATCGTCGACTGAAACCACTGCGTGTTCTTCATATTGTCCAAAAACATCTCCCGCATCATAGCCTTCTGCTCCTTCTCGATCGTAGCAATCGCCCACTGTCGTCTTCGCTGCACCTGGTCTTCTATTTTGTTCGGCTTGCAATTGCTTTGGCCTGTTCAGCCGTCCAGCTCGCTCTTATTTTGGCCGCGTAAATGATCTACTAAGTTTAAAGAGCTCGTCTGATCGCTGCTCCGTGCGTTTCTGTTTTAGAGCTGCTTGCTTCTTAGTTGAAGAGGCCGCAAAATAAGCAGTTCAGAAGTGCGAAGTAGCATCATGGAGGTGACACGAGACCCTTTTAAATTATCCATTTAATGGGTCAATAGAACTTGATCGCTCTGGCAGAAAACGTAGCACCTCAAACTATAGAAATTGCGGTAATACAGATACTTCGTGACCTCGCGTCGGAGTACAGCGATTGGCAAGACACTCGCTGACTTCCCTTCTCTCCTTTGTTCTTCTCCTTCTACGCTATCGTTTCACTAGAACTTTATGAGAACACAAGCGACAGTTCCCACGTATTAGTTCGATGTCACGACCTTTTGTGTCCGACAGTGTCGGACACATCTGCGTGTCACCAATTCTTACACCTGGTAACCTTGGCAATGCGGATGATTAAAACATTACCTACCTCCCACGACATTCAATTAATGCATCTTTAAATTTTGTGGACCGTATCCAGTTCTCAACCCGAAAATAATGTGTAGTCGACACCACTTTTCGATCGCCGTCCGAGCCCAACGCAGGCCAACCACACCACCTTCACTCACTATGTTGCCTATCTGAGAGGAGGCCAAATGAGACGAATCCCATTCCCACGTCGCAGATATCTGTGTCCGTGTATCGCGCGAGTAGTTGTCCATTGGTGATCACGCGCGGTAGCGACCAGATGCCCGTGAGTATTAAGTTCGACCCGCGCAATGACATGTCTGTGGTTCGCAATTACGGAACGCTGTTACTGGAGATGGCGGCTTGTACTCCCGATGGCATGGTCTGCTTTTTTCCGTCCTATCTCTACATGGAGAAGATAATCGGTCAGTGGGACTCGCTTGGAGTGCTCAAGCGCGTTCTCTCAAGCAAGTTGCTTTTTATTGAGACGAAGGATATCGTGGAGACGACTCTGGCGCTGGACAATTACAAAAAAGCGTGCGACTGTGGACGGGGAGCAATTTTCTTTTCCGTTGCCCGGGGCAAGGTGGCAGAAGGAATTGATTTCGACCGTCACTACGGACGAGCCGTGCTGCTGTTCGGCATCCCTTTTCAGTACACGCTGTCGAACACGTTGCGTGCACGGCTCGAATACCTTCGATACACGCACCAGATCCGCGAAGGTGACTTTTTGACATTCGATGCGTTGCGTCAAGCCGCTCAGTGCGCCGGTCGAGTTCTCCGTAGCAAGACCGACTACGGTCTCGTCATTTTTGCCGACTCGAGATACAACCGAGCGGACAAGCGCAATAAGCTGCCGCCGTGGATCACCCAGTTCCTCTTGACGTCGCACTTGAACCAGTCGGTGGACATGGCAGTTTTCATGGCTAAGAAATATCTGTCGTAATGGCTCAGCCGGTGGACGAATTTACGAACGTCAATTCCATCTTGCTAGATGCTGACGGTGTCTCCAAATGGCTCGGCAATCATCCAAAAGAAGACGAACCCGTGCATTGACAAGGTAAGAAACCATGACCGCGAAAGTGAGGTTACGAAATGCAAATGGCTGCACAAGACGGTGTTTGTTAAGTACTCTTCTCCATTCACATTCAGCCGCCATTGACTATGCAAATGCTCTGCTAGTAGCTACACACTTTGCTGAGCTGGCTAGATTACAAGCGAGGCGCATCCAGCACAATGCCCTCAAACTTGGTCTGAAACCAGTTCACCGCGTCGTCCTTCGTAAGACGGTGCGGGTGGCCGACGCGCGACTGCTTCATCTTACGACGAGCGACACGAGCTCCTGGACGCTTCAGCACGACGAAGAAGTCCATGCCGTAAATGCCCGTCGACGGGTCGTACTTGATACCCAGATCGATGTGTTCCTGGATACCAAAACCGAAGTTGCCCGTCTCCGAGAAGTTCTTGCGCAGTAGCTCGTACTCCTTCACCTTGAGACCGCGGTCTAAAATCTCCTGAGCGAGTTCCCCACGAATCGTCACGTGGCACGAAATCTTTTCGTTACGACGAATACCGAACGTGCGGACCGTGTAGCGGGCTGGCCATTCAACAATTGTTACATTCACATTACGTTAGTACATTCCATGTTGCTCAACTACGAGTGCACGGGACCCCTTTTCACTACTTTGCTGGACGCAGTTCCTTCAGTAGCCACTATTTGCGTCAATCAGCACAAAAAGCGGCGACGAAGAAACGCGTACACAACGAAGGAGAACGAGCCACGCATCTCTTGCCATCCGTTAAGATAGACGAAAAGATAACCACCAACCTCCAAGATCATTGATGTGTGCGTGTCGTCCCACGAATCGCTTTTTGCAAAGCACGTTCGTTGTACTCAAACGAGCGCGATCGGGGATGAACCAGAGACAAAGCTCCGACACCCCGAGAGGCCGTGAAATTGGGTAGACACGCTCTCGCTTGGACAAGAGCGTGACTCCCGGGTAAGTAGCCCGTTAAGGCAGTTCTTTACTTTTTCCACTCGTGTCAAAAAAGCTTACCCTTCGAGTACACGGGCTTCTGCCCGGTGAGCTGCTCCAGCACACGTGCAGCACGGGTCAGTTTATCGCCGGACTCGCCAACGCAGCAGTTGATCACGAGCTTGTCGACGTGAATTTCGCGCATGACGTTGTTGCTCTTGTCGCCGGCCTGATGGGTCATTGACAAGGATCCATCAAGAGAGAAACAGCAAATCAGTGAGAACCCGTTGTCTTGTTTCAGTGTACTCCGCACGGCAGGACAGCAGGGAAGCCAGCGAGCATACGCACCATCTTGCTCGTCGTTGTGCAGCGTTTAGAGAAGTAGTAGCAAAAGACGGTTTGTCGCTGCTAGGTGTAATGGGTGGTCGCGGGCTCACATTGAGTGAGCTCTACAGAAAATATCGCAGTATCAAGCTTTTTATGCTGGGAAGCTTGAGGACTAAAAACTAGTGACATTGTCCTAGTATCAATTAGTTCAGACAAAGTACACGTCGTTTTAATAAGGTGCGGTTTAAGCTTGTACAAGTTTTGCTTATTCTATTCTAAGCAATTGATGCATGAATATTTAGTAATCAAATTGTGTCAGTAACGTTTATCCATCCTTTGTTTTAGTAGGCAGTCGTTGCAAAATATTCTAAATGGTTATTACCATAAGTAAATATATTTATGATGTGTTAGGCATAATGGGAAATATATCATGTTATCATTCATACGAATAACGGACGACCATGAAAGGTAGACAGGTTGGCAAATCGTTAGATGCAAGATAGCTGCAAACTTTACGATGAACTTTACAGACTGAATCAGCGTCCCTTAATGTCAACATTACGTTTCCGTTTAAACAGCACTTTATATTCGACATAGACAGAAACGGATACCTGCGCTTCACTTGAGACATGACACATCATATCGATACGGACCGACATCCTCATATTATATTAGCTATTCTTTACCCATCTCCCCCTCTGTTAGATTTATTCAAAAAGGAATAGATTAAGATAGGGGAGCGTGCTCTGGAGCTCGCCCTATTATTTAAGTAATTTAGTTTATGGAAATGAATCGACGCAAACCACAATACAACAGCATCAGTCACTGAAGAAAGATCGTGATGTTGTAAATGTGTAACGGGGTGAACCGTTACATAACAATTTATAAGAAATTGTTAATAGAACATAACTATAAGAGTTATATTCTCAGAATATTGTCATAAGGATAAATATTCTGTAGCACTTACGAGTAGTTCCTAATTGGTTGATATAGGCCATTATATCAACCAACGAAGACGCGCCACGACAGACGCACGCAATGAGTGGTGAGCAGATAGTTGGTTTACACATTTGTATTTAGACAAAGTTAGATGAAGATAAATAGTGATTTATTAACAGGCATTAACTATCATAAATACAGTTCTACTTTTTACTTTAACCAAGTACTCGCTTCTTCTTACCGTCTTCCTCTGCACGTACGAGTGTACGTGAAGTTACGAGGCACCGCCTAATTCTGTCATCAGAATAAGTAGCTTGTACTGGTGACAGTACAAGCTTCAGGGTGCCCCGTTACACCTGGTAGCACTTCGTAGTCCGTCCAAGGACCACGTTCACATCCAACATGAATATGTTGGATGATGAAGATGACCAAAGCTTTCACGCTACGCGTGACGGCTACTCCCATTTGAGCAATGTCGAATGGGATGCGGTTGAACGAATGGATTCAACCGTGGGCATTCATGCTGTTAGCGTCATGCTAGAGGCTCTCAATAGAGATGCCCAACATGCTACTATCGCCAAGTTCATTCAAAATGAACTTGACGCAGAACGCGAGAAAGTAGCCTTGCTTCACCAACAAGGTTCTCAACAAGCAGAGTTGTTGAGAGAACAGGGTGTTCAACAGTTTGAACTGTTGAGACAGCAGCAGGCTGCTGCTGGTGGGTCGATGCACTCGCGTCGACCCGAAACTTTGAAGATTGACATCTCAAAGTATAGGGGAGTCGAAGAGGACTCCCTCTTGAGATGGTTCGTCGAATTGGATGACGCCATAAGGGCGCGTCGCATCGACGACGGGGATATGCAAGTTGCATTTGCCCAGTCAAATCTGGCAGGACGTGCCAATACTTGGGCACTGGGGCTCAAGTTGCACGACCCATATGCGTTTGGGTCGTTGGAAGTCTTCAAGTCGCGGCTCAGACAAACGTTTGAACCGCCTAGAGCTGAGTTCAGAGCTCGAACCGAACTCTTGAAGCTCAAGCAGGGTAAGCGTGATGTGCACGCTTACGCTCAACATATACGACATCTCACGAGTTGTATAAGTTCCAATCCGGTGGATGAACACACGTTGGTTTCGGTGTTCATGCAGGGTCTTGCGGATGGTCCCGTCAAGACTCACCTGTTCCAACTTGAACTAGATTCACTAGAACAAGCCATTTCAATTGCGGAGCAGGAAGACTTCAGTCTGAGACAGGCTCGCGCCAGCTCGACATCATATCGTCAACAGAAACGATATGACAACGGAGGTCCAGAGCCGATGGAACTCTGTTATGTAGAGAGCGAGAAGGCTCGCTCTACAGGCTACAAGAAGTTGCAGAGATGCAACAGATGTCAAAAGACAGGACACTACGCTTACGAGTGTAGTGCCCCTCGTCCAGTGTCTCGCGACACTGGGCGTAGTGACCGTCCACCCATGAGAAAGGGGCAGGGACGAGGGTCCGCTGTTGGTGCAAAGACGCAACAACGGGATGGACCGTCAAAAAACGGTCAGGATCAGTAGGTGCGGAGCACCCTACTGGTCCAGCAACGTCAAGAGAATTTGTAGGCCTCTTGATGAAGGTTGCTCCCAACACACAAACGTTGTGCGTTGCTGCTCTAAGTAATGAGGTCTCACTCATTACCTTGAAACTCGAAGTGACGAATAAGTTGTCCCTTCGAGCTCTAGTCGATTGTGGGACGTCCAACAATTTTGTGCGACGCCAATCGCTAGAAGATGGTCACTTTAAGTTCAGTGAATGTGACACACCTCCTACGAGGATGACGGTACGTCTTGCGACAGGCGCATCCGTAACCGTCATGAAGCGTATAGTGAAGATCCACTATACGCTAGAAGATACCCAATATGACGATGACTTTATCGTATTGGATTTGGATGAAAAATTTGATGTCATCCTTGGGATACCGTGGCTCAGAAGGTACGAACCACGGGTAAACTGGCAACATCGGACAGTAACGATGCCTGCCGCTTGTTCATCGGATGGCCATCTGATGAACCATGTGGAGCGTTTACAAGCGTGTGGATGTACTACGAGTGAGTGCGATGGCCTCACTTGTGGTACGGTCGTTAGTACGACTGCACAAAACCTTAGTGTACCAAACGGTTACACTTCGAAGCAAAGTTCCGGCTGCTGTGAGGAAACACAGGCTGCGCCGAAGGTCCACCACTCGAAAAAGTCGGGTGGACTGGGACAAAGATGTATCCCTAGCGGGGAACATCTAGAAGAGAAACAATCGATCGCTCAGGTTAAGCGAAACGATAATCCTAGATCGACTGGAGAGTCTTTCGTAGAGGATCTCGCTGTGGTTGCGCAACCCCAGCTAGAGGAAGTAAAGGGAATAAGTCCCAAGATTACAAATACGGCGGAAATAAGTTCCCCGAGACCCGCGGGAATAAGCCCCCGGGAAGCCGAAGGAATAAGTCCTTCGAGGCCTGAGGGAATAAGTCCCCAGGAAATGACAGAGACATTGAATGTCATAGTCAATAACGGATCAAGCGTAGGCGCTTATGCACTTGATCTGATTGCGCTTCCGAAGTTGACTTCGGAGATCACTCAGTTGCCAACGCTCGAACATAAAAGGTTCTTGCGTGATCTGCGTAGTGGCAAAGTCAAGCAGATCTGCGTACTCGTCGCTGACGACGAGTGTGTAACCGACATAAGGTCAGCAACAGTGTTTACTGAGAACGAGAGAGTTCTCAATAGTCATCTATGGACGAGAGTGTCCTCGATGAAAAGACACGGGTTGAGCAATATGACTCTTTATCATGGGAATCGCTCAAGACAAATCATCTCTATGAAGATTTGGTTGAATTCAAGGAAGTATTCCCTGAAACTGTTCCGTGCAAATTACCGAAGGATAAAGGTATTCGACACGAAGTCGAGCTTAAACCAAGCTCGAAGTACTGTGTCATGAAGCAGTGGCCACTGCCTCGTGAACAAGTACTTGCGATCGACAAGTTCTTTGCCGATCGTTTAGCAGCGGGCCATGTGAGGGAATCAACTTCCCCACATAGCTCTCCGACCTTCTGTGTGCGAAAAGCAACAGGAGGGTGGCGGATAGTGCACGCGTTTAACAAATTGAACGCTGCAACGGTACCGGCTCAGACGCCGATACCGAGGAAGGACGTAATCATTGATGGTATGTCAAAGAGTACCATCTTTCGTCCATGGATTTGATGGATGGCTTCTATCAAATCCTTATGCGAGAACGGGATATACCCTATACCGCAGTTAGCACGCCTAGCGGCATACTCTGGGAATGGCTAGTAATGCCACTAGGGCTTAGTAATGCCCCTGCCACGCTCAACAGATGTGTATCACATATATTGAGACCAGTACGAGAATTCGCGCCGAGTTATTTCGATGACGTATTCATCCATAGTCGAGCTATGGATGGAAAGTCGGACGTTGAGGTTCACAAGTACCACGTCCGACAGGTTCTTACAATCATGCGAAAGCGTCAATTGTATGCAAACATTAAGAAGTGTATATCTGCAGCAAGCGAAATACCACTTCTTGGGTGCATCGTCGGTAAGAACGGTGTACGTCTTGATCAAGAAAAGATCAAGACGATCACCGACTGGCCTGTGCCGGTTGATGTCAAAGGTCTTCGAAAATTCCTTGGGCTAGCGGCGTATTTGCATAAGTATTCACGCAATTACGCCGAGATGACTGTACGCCTCTCTCGTTTGTTGAAAAAGAACGAGAAGTGGTTATGGAACGCTGAATGTCAGCGCTCCTTTGATGGTATCAAGCAGAGCTTGATACAATCCCCAGTCCTAGCAATAGCCGATCAGGACAGGCCATTTCATGTGGTCTGTGATGCCAGCGATTTCGCAATCGGCTGTGCATTAATGCAGTACGATCTTGATGGCGTTGAACGCGTCGTCTGCTATCAGTCGCGTCAGCTGCAACCAGCTGAGCGGAACTATCCAGTGCATGACAAGGAACTCCTTGCCATGAAGTATGCACTCGCGAAGTTCAGAGTCTATCTATTAGGAGATAGACCCTTCATTGTTTACACTGACCATGCGTCATTACGCACGGCAGTGAACAGCCCGCACCTTTCACAACGAATGGCGCGGTGGTTGTCATTCTTTGCAGAATACAACTTTACGGTCGAGTACAAACCAGGACGACTTAATGTCGTCGCTGATGCACTTTCACGTCGTCCCGACTTTGAAACAGTCGCAAACCCAACAGTGAGACAGTCACTGTTGCGGTTATGACGTCCTCAGTCCCATCTACAACGTTGTATGATGATGTGAGGCGGGCATACGCCCAAGATGGTGAGATTGTGAAGTTGTTGACACATCTCTCCCAACCATCTCGAGAATCGTTGAAACGATTGTCGCCTGCGTATCGATCTGCATCAGATCGATACACTACTCGTGACGGTTTACTGTATTATACAGCCGCTTCTGGTGACACACCACGTGTTGTCATCCCAGATGATACTGATCTGCGTTTGTGGATCATGTTCGAGTATCACGATGCTCCTATAGGAGGAAATCGTGGCCGAGAGAAAACAAATCTCACGGTGAGTCGAGACTTTTACTGGCCCCGCCAGTATCAGTTTGTGCGAAAGTATGTTCGCGCATGCGAAGTCTGCCAACGAGTGAAGTCAAGCCCTTCACTGCGTGCACCTTTACAGCCTCTACCGGTTCCGGCTGAGTGCTGGGAATCCATCTCAATGGATTTTGTCTTCGGGTTACCTAAAGACGCACGCGGGAATACGGGTATTCTCGTATTTGTTGAAAGATTCAGCAAAATGGTACACCTTGTGGTTGTACCAGAGTCAATCACGGCAAGTCGCTGTGCTTGTGTCTTTATTGACACCATCTTCCGACTTCATGGGTTGCCCCGTGAACTCGTATCAGACAGAGATCCACGATTCACTGCTGATTTCTGGCGCTCCGTGTTCAAATCACTCGGAACGCGCTTGAAGATGTCTACATCTGATCATCCAGAATCAGATGGTCAGAAGGAACGTGCCAATCGTGTCCTTGAAGAGATACTTCGAGGATACGTGCACTGCTTTAAGAGTTGGAGTGAGTTTTTGCCAATTGTAGAGTTTGCCATTAACAACTCGGTGCATGCGTCCACGACACATACACCGTTTTACGTGAATGACTTACGCCATCCGCGCGTTCCCACCTTACTCGAGTGTAACTCTGGTTTAAGCGGGAGGGAGACTCGCGCGAGCAAAAAACCGATTTGGTTCACGCTCATCACGCTCTGACGAAGAGGTCATCGCGTTTGATGCCGATATCGATAACATCGATATCGAAGAAGCTGATGCCAGTGAGAGTGCGGAAGCCCTCATGAAGAAAAGATTGATGTTGCTGCAGTGCGCTCACAGCGCACTGAAGCTAACGAGTCATCAGATGAGTTCATACTGGCTCGTGAAACGGTAGTCCGTTTTGTGCAAGACTCCATCGCCGAAGCGGTGGATAAGCAAAAGCAAAACGCTGACAAGAATGGAAGGGCAAACACTCTTTTATTTAATAAAGGTGACTTAGTCCTACTGTCTACGGTTAATCTACCAAAGCATGTAGTGACTAACTTGGGTAGCAGTAAACTACTACCCAAGTACATCGGCCCATTTCGTGTATTGCACCGCCTAGGCAATGCATACACGATCGAGTTACCACGTAAGATACGAACTCATCCCACGTTTTACGTTGGTCGGATTAAGCCTACCCATCAGTACGCTGCTTCTTCCGATGAAGAACGCCCTTGAGCTCAAGCATCTCGCAGAGAGCCTTGTGCTCCCGATGGTGGGCATCAACAAGGGTCTGAAGAGCAGCTATCTCATCCCGAGTCCGATCAGCAATCCCACGAGCTACCCTTAGCTCGTCACGAAGAGATGTCAGAGATCTCTCGTTCTCAAGCTGAGCAAAGGCAAACTCAGCTCGATGCTACGAGGCAGTGTCCGCCATTTGGAGACGCCTATTCCGCTCATGTTCGAGATCGTCGCGTAACCCTTGCGTTACGCGATCAAAGAAGCTCTCGTGAACACACCGATCCACATGATCGTGTGGAGAGCGTCTTTCCTCCTCCTCCACCTCCATTAGAGGACTCTCGCGGTGGCCAGCGCTATCTAGTTGAGCAGCTGTTGAACCACCGCGACGTGAACGGACGTCGGACGAGTTATCTCGTCCGGTGGCGCGGCTATCCCCCGTCCTGGGATTCTTGGGAGCCCCGCTCCCAACTGATGATCGACGTACTGGGTCTGGTTGAGCAGTACGACGCGGCACATCCTGTGCCGCAGAAGGACCGCCGGAGAAAGTCTTCCCGGCACAGTCATAAAGGGATTTCAGGTTGTCAATCCCTTCGTACATCTCAGTAGAGACACGTACGCGCCACCACGGGCTGGTAAGGAGGTAAGCCTCCTTAGGTGCTCGTGCAGAGTTGTTCACACAACATGGGCACGAGTCTCCCCAAGAGAGGCAGGGTAATCCTTTCTCCTTTGACAGACGATGCAGCTTGTAGCGTGCACCTGTCGGGGTTCACTTTTCAAACTTATCACGAGCTTTGATAAGTTTGTCTTTCCAAACGTCACGACCTACATCCTCAGGGTTATGGATGTAGGCGTTCCACGCTTGAAGTAGTGAGGGACCATCACGCCTGTGATTCCCACTGTACCATCGGTGTCAAAAGAAAGCATCGATGAAGAATTCATTCTCAGCGCGAAAGGTTTTCGCACTGGGGTCAAGGTGATGGATCCTTGACGAATCGAACGTCGTCGCCGACAAGTGATCCATGACTGATTTGGGAGGCATCCATGCCTTCTTCTCAGGAGCGAGACGCAAGACATTGCGGTCCCGCTCTTCCTGCGATGTGCCAACAGAAGTACTGGCACCTCGTTGCGAAGTGGTGTCCATAGGAGAACCGACACCACTGTTAGCGCCCGAGTCTCGCGACCTCGAGCGCCTACGCTTCGGCGATGGTTCATCTGATTCATCAGATGAACCAAAGATGCTACGACGCAAAGCATCATCCATGCCACGCTTGGCAGGCGGATTGGATTCGATCGCCGTCGATACGGATCCGTCTTCCGTATCAGGAGAGTACGAGACACCGAGCTCGTACTCTGTGAAGACATGAGTGTCTTCATGACCAGCGCCTGCATCACCAAGTGACACAGGCTGGGTCGCTTCAGCAACCGATGAGACATCAGTTGCTGTGGTTTCTGCTTCGGCGTCCGCACAGAGACGTGCGGACGCGCTCTCGGCGGCCTTGCTCGCACATCGCATGGGCTTGTTAACCATGCGATGAATTGTTGGAAAGTGGACTCGGACCAACAAGTGCAAACCCTGTCCCAAATGATTTGGGACGAGTATCCATTTAGTCAATCAGTCACTAAAGTGACTGATGGTTAGGGGGGGTGATGTAACGGGGTGAATCGTTACATAACAATTTATAAGAAATTGTTAATAGAATGTAACTATAAGAGTTATATTCTCAGAATATTGTCATAAGGACAAATATTCTGTAGCACTTACGAGTAGTTCCTAATTGGTTGATATAGGCCATTACATCAACCAACGAAGACGCGCCACGACAGACGCACGCAATGAGTGGTGAGCAGATAGTTGATTTACACATTTGTATTTAGACATAGTTAGATGAAGATAAATAGTGATTTATTAACAGACATTAACTATTATAAATACAGTTCTACTTTTTACTTTAAACAAGTACTCGCTTCTTCTTACCGTCTTCCTCTGCACGTACGAGTGTACGTGAAGTTACGAGGCACCTCCTTATTCTGTCATCAGAATAAGTAGCTTGTACTGGTGACAGTACAAGGTTCAGGGTGCCCCGTTACAACTTACCTAATAAACTCGCACTACATGTATTAGGCCTTCTTAGTTGCTCATGCTAGTATTTAATACCAATACATTGCTAAGTGGATACTGCAGTGCAGACGAAGGATTTATCATTTTGTTGATTTGAAATTCCTGGGTTCCCACCACTCCGCTAGATGTGAAAATAAAATCGTCGAGCTCACGTGCCGAAACGATTTACGCGTTATTTCTAAAAAGCAAAGAAAGGTAATTTTTTACAATTCAGCATTGTGAATCATCAATTATGCTCGTTTTACTCCGTATCTGATGACGCTATAGCAATTAATTATAACGTATCGCCAAAAATGTCTACACCAGTGTAGATGAAAATGAAAAAAAAGGTGGATTAGCTGGGTAAAGTACATCATGGTAAAGTTATTCCAAAATGTATCCTACCGAGATCTGGCAAATGTTCGTCAGTCGGGGCATTAGTCAAAACATACGACGACAGTAACAAAAACACTTTCTCTTCCTCCTTGATTACGTTCATTTGACGCGCCAGCGATCTCTCTGTGAATAACATGGGATCCAAAAAAACATCAAAAGTTATATGTCGCGTATTAACCTGTAAAGGAGCTCCACATCGTACGATAACTGTAATGTATTTTATCCAGAGAATGTCCACGTAGTAAGTGATAGGTGTGCACCTAGTCAGTCCAGTAATTACTTGGAGCCGTTAAGCACCCGATAGATTTTCAGGAGCCACCAACAACCCCTTATATATAGCATTAATCAATAGAGTATGGGAAACGTTAACCAACCCCCAGGTTTTCGTTTACCAACCCCCACCCCCTATATATTACCGTAATATATATTCCTTCCATGTTTTTGTATGATTGTAAATAAAATATCACATTGCAAAATACTGAAAGCCAATTCCAACATAATAATTGCATCATGTAATCGCTTACACGCTATTTTTTCAATTGTTGAACAAATTCTTTCAGCGCTTAAACACCGTAGTCCGTAATTCTCAAATGGCTCTGCCAACACCTCCTGAAACTACATACGATACGCTAGATAAGGCCCTAAAGGCACTTAATGAACATGCAAGAGCTCAAGGCTATGTCCTAACGATCAAGCGTACCAAAAGGTGGGTAATAGGAAAGATGGCGCAATCAAACTAATTATTCTATGGAGTTCACAGGGAAAAAAATTCAAGCCAGTTTCTGTTAACGAAGTTAAGGAAACGAGAACGATCAAGCGCATAAGGGCTAGTAGAAGTACTGGGTGCCGTTTTGAAGCTGTCATTCAACGCATAGATGAGCGCTGGTACATTACAGTCATTAGAGGGAATCACAATCACGATGCATTTTATGACTCCTCTGCACATCCAAGTGGTCACGCGTTATAAACGAAGAGGCTCGCGAGCGAGTTCTCTTATTGACCAGTGCTGGTGTCAAACCTAGTACTATTGTCGCTTCTCTCCGCAATGAAAGCAGCATTGCGGACAGAAGGTTTGTGTGTATTACGACCACACACAAACCTCGTGATAGATCTCTGCAGCTGGCTTAAAGTCAATTTCGAACGTAGCATTAATGAATGCCTTTGTTACAGTGTCCATTCAGGATATTCGCAGTATCTGACATGTAAATTATCACACGTCGCCGACTGAAAGACGTGCATTAATTATCTAGATTTAGTATTTTATCGTTTGTATATGAAATAGTATATTACTGCTTAAACCGGTGATTTATTCGTTTTTACTGATCGGAACGCATCCATCGAGTAAATTACGGTAATACATAGGGGATGGGGGGTGGTCAACGAAAACCTGGGGGGTGGTTAACGTTTCCCAATAGTATCCTTGTTTTAATTGATCGTAATACGATTTTATTTCTCTAAATTATAGCCACCTATTTCAACGCAATAATCGCATCCCCTTTTCTTTCGCATACGTATAACAACAATCTCAAAATCAGGTGAACAACCTCCTTCATCTTTAATCTCGACAATATCTACACTACAATAATAACAATTATCGGATCGCGAAACGATCTTACTAGAAATTATCCAGGTATAGGTTTAATCTTGATAATCTAGCTTTTAAATGCAGACGAACTCCCCTTGCTTGTCGCTCGCAGCATTAACAGTGTTAAATTTACGCTTCACGTATCCTAGGCCACATCAGCGAGCTCACACGACAAAGCATGTTATTCTATTCGCGTTAAGTGTAATCCGTTAAAAGGCTTTAAAAAAAACCATGTCCACTAAATGACAGAGCACCGCCCTAAAGTTTTCTTTTTTTGGCAAACCGTACAAACAACCCCTACATACTCTAGTCCGTACATGACAACACATATTCGTTCATTACATTCAAATTGGATCACGCGACAGCTTCGTCTAATTATCCCTTCTACATGCTTGAATATTGAAGACAATTGTGGGTGATCAAATGTAGAGATCAACTATAGAATCAGGTACATGTACTTAGTTTATGGCAAATACTGTTCTACACCTTCGGTTGCCACCACTTCTCGTTGCTTGAGTTTTGGAGTGTAGGGAAGAAATCGGCTAAATAATAAATCAACCACAAGTCGCCGACTTATAGACATGCGTATCAGTGTTAAGATGATTTTTGTCTTTCGTTTTCGATTATGCGCAATACTTTAAAGAACTTTGAAGTTTGTAATCACAATACTTAGAGGCGCACATGGCAAAGACAATGTAGATAGATACAAGCGGTTAGGTATTTACTATAACCTAGTATGTATACTAATTTTTTGTAGTAATCCTCAAACAAAGGAAACTATGATCACGAAAGATAGACAGAAAAACATTTTTTGATGTCGTGGAAAAAAATCGCAATCACATCAATATTTATCCCGTCAACCATTTGTATTAGCTTCAACAATAGCCTCAAATGCGACTTACACAAGATTCGATGCCTGCGCTTAAAGTATAAGGGCGTAGTAATGCAAAAACTTACAAGAGTACAGACGAAAAACTTCATTTAATGTTTACTTTTCTTTACTCCGCCCCAATGTATGTTGATATAATTGGCAAAACAATACCAAGTGATGCAATAATAGAAACACATCAGAACCTTTCTATAAATTCTCAGAAAAAAATTCGTATTTTGATTGGATGGCTCGGGACCGACTCGGGAAAAATGTAAATTCGAAAAAAACTCTAATTTCTTAAATTACTATTCAGACAATTTGTCCCGACCTTTTCGTGTTTGTCTATTTGCTTACTTCGTTAATTTAATGCAGATTTAACGAACTTTGTGCATTTTAATGATCAAACAGGCATGGCCTGGAAATTGGATGTTTGAATAAACTCCCATAATCTATATTGGGCAAGCGAGTTGAGGAAGACAACAGGTTGTTACCTTGAGGTCCCCCACTACCGCTACATCATCCCCATGAAACGAACCAGGAATTTATTGCCAGAAAGACGGCCTGAATGATGAACGCCCCTGATGACGGCTCCAAGTAGAGCGCTGTGTTTTCTGGATGCGCACAGATGGACTGCGGAGTTTCCACGAA